TATATGTATATGTACATATAGATAGATAGATAGATAGACAGAAAGATAGATATGGATATGTGTGTGTGTGTTTTTAATCTGTGTATGTGTATGTATGTGTGTGTATGTGTACACGTTTAAAAAGTATGCTCACAGTCGTAAAAATCTGAAGACAAAAATCTAACTCTTTGTACTGTGTCCCAAAGGCTCCATTCACAAGATCTATTTCTTTACTATGAACTACCTCATCTGTCGCCCTGGTGTGTCGTTTTTCAAAAGCGAGATATTAATATGGCTGAATGCTCCCAAGCATCGTATGAAATATTAGGTATGCTATCACACACACTCATACATACATATAGACATATATATATATATATATATATATATATATATATATATATATATATATATATATATATGTGTGTGTGTGTGTGTGTGTGTGTGTGTGTGTGTGTGTGTGTGTGTGTGTGTGTGTGGTATGTATATATATATATATATATATATATATATATATATATATATATATATATATATATATATATATAGAGAGAGAGAGAGAGAGAGAGAGAGAGAGAGAGAGAGAGAGAGAGCGAGAAAGAGAGAGAGAGAAAGAGAGAGAGAGAGAGAGAGAGAGAGAGAGAGAGAGAGAGAGAGAGATGTGTGTGTATTTGTATATATATATATATATATATATATATATATATATATATATATATATATATATATATATATATATAAACAAACATGTATATCTATCTGTCTGTCTATCTATGTATATCTATCTATATATATACACATGCACACCCTACTCTCCCTCCCTCCCACCCACTCCCCCTCTCCTCCCTCCCTCCATTCCACTCCTTCCCCCCCTCTCCTCCCTCCAAATCCCCACTCTCTCCTCCTCCTACTGCCTCCCTCCCTCCCTCCCTCCCTCCCTCTTCCCACCCACTCCCCCTCTCCTCCCTCTCTCCCATTCCCCCATTCCTCCTCCCTCCCTCCCTCCAAGTACCCCTCCCTCCCACTCCCCCTCTCCTCCCTCTCTCCCATTCCCCATTCCTCCTCCCTCCCTCCCTCTCTCCCACTCTCCCTCTCCTCCCTCACTCCCTCCCTCTCCTCCCTCCCTCCCTCCCACCCCCCCTCCCTCCCTCCCTCTCCTCCCTCACTCCCACCCACCTCCCTCCCTCCCACCCACTCCCTCCCTCCCTCTCCTTCCTCCCTCCCTCCCTCCCACTCCCTCCCACCCACTCCTTCCCTGCCCCTCCTTCTCCCCCCCTCCCCTCCCCCCCGCACCTCGAAGACGCCGCCCTCCCTCTCACTGTCCAGATCCGACTCGTCAGCTCCCTCTCCTCCTCCAGCGACGCCTGACAGTCTTCCTCGCGCTCGCTGACTCTCCGGTCGATCTCGTGGCTGACTCGGAGGTGGAAGTAGATCACGAGGAGGAGCGGGACGACGTACCTGAGGGGGGGGGGGGAAGGGAGGAAGAAGGGAGGAAGGGAGGAAGGGAGGAAGGGAGGGAGGGAGGAGTGAGGGAGGGAGGAGGAAGGGAGGAGGGAGGAGTGAGGGAGGGAGGGGGAAGGAGGTTGGGGGAGGGGGGAGGGAGGGAGGAAGAAGGAGGAAGGAGTGAGGGAGGGAGGAGGAAGGGAGGAGGGAGGAGTGAGGGTGGAAGGGGGAAGGGCGGAGGGAGGGAGTTTGGGGGGAGGAGGAGGGAGGTTGGGGGAGGGGGGAGGGAGGGAGGAAGAAGGAGGAAGGAGGGGAGGAGGAGTGAGGGAGGTGGGACGAAGGGGGGGGTGAAGAAAAGTGAGGGAGGAAGGAGGAAGGGAAGAGGGAGTGAGGGAGGTGGGGGTAAGGAGGAGGAAGGAGGAGGGGGAAGGAGGACGAGGAGGGAAAGGGAGGAATGAGGAAAAGGAGGTAGAGGAGAAAAAGCGAAAAAAAGGAATATAGGAGAAGAAGAAGAACAAGAACAACGAGATAAGTGAGAAGGAAAAGAGAGGAAATTAAAAAGGAGGAGGAGAAAAAGAAACGATAACAAGGGAGTGAGGGAGGTTGGGGGGAGGAGGAATGAGGGAGGAGGAATAAGGGAGGAGGGAGGAAGGGGAGGGAAGGAGGAGGGAGAGAGGGATTAGCGAGGAAGGAGGAGGAAAGAGGAAAAGAAGATGGAGGATAAGAAGCGGAAAAAAAGGAATGGAGGAGGAGGAGGAGTAGAATAAAGAGGAGAAGAAGAAGAACAAGACCAACGAGATAAGTGAGACGGAAAAGAAAGGAAATTGAAAAGGAGAGGAGAAAAAGAAGCGATAACAAGGGAAAAGAAGAAAACAGAAAATGATAAAAACGAATTATTATTTCCATTATCGTTTCCATTATCAATTATCATTATTATCATTATTATCGTAATCATAATTATCATCATTATCATTATTACTGTTATTATCATTATTATTATCATCATTATTATTACCATTATCATTATCACTATTATTCATTATTACTATCATTACTGACCTCTTTGTTTCCTTATCAT